CGCTTGACGCGCCAGGTGGAGGCGCTGGGCTTGGCGACCGGGCTGTCTCCCGCGCCCGGCACTTCCAGCCCCCCGCCCGCGTCCGGGGCTCCGGATCGCGCACCTCGTCTGGGCACCGCTCGCTTCGCCAGCCACGCCACCTTCTCGCTGTCCGGCCGCAGTCAGGTGAGTCCTGGGGCAGCGCGGCCCGTCGGGGCGAAGGCGGTTGCGCGGGCACTGAGGAGGGTAGCTCGATGCCCGGGCGCCCCACCGCCCCGCGTGCGTGCGTGCGTGCGTGCGTGCTGCGGTTCTCTGGAACCGGGATTGTGCCTCCACCTGCTGCTGGGATTCGGTAATGGGGTCCCACTGCTAAAGTGTCAGACAAGGCAGGAGAAGCAACTGCATAGCCAGCCCTTCCCTTCCCTGCACCTGTCTCTCACCCCCTCCCTGCAATTTTTTTTTGGAGCTGGGTCCTGTGTGCTGAGTAGAACATCTCCCTTTCCCTTGTCCATGACAGTAAGAGTTTGGAGGCTGAGCTCTGTATTCGGCCTGGGGCCTCGTCCACATGTTGGAATGGGTTAGCACCCCCTCCAACCCCAGCCAACCTAACCTCTCCATCTTCATTCGATACCCAACATTGCTGCTTCACCGAGGCCTGACCGTTCAAGTTATAGATTAACCGGGATTGAGAACTCAAGCCCCTGTGTGTGAATGGGGGTGGGGTAGGGGTGGGGGTGGGGTGGGTTAAGGGATGTAGTCTGGTAGAGGGTGCAGAGCAGCTGCTTTCGGGAACTGACATTCCAGGGGGGCAAATCCTTTACCGCGAAGGGAGAGAGAGGAACCGGCTGTAGCTAGTGTCTAGATTTCTGGGGTCAGTGGCTGGCCAGAGGCTGGTGTGGACCAGTCTGAGCATGGGCCCCCTTTGGTGTGGCAGGGCCTGGTTAGAATGCTTCCATGGTGTGTGCATGTCAGGGGAATGGACCCTCCTGACCAGCCATGTGCTCTGAGGCGGGAAGTCTGCACCACTGACCCCCTTACCCAGGTGCCCTAGTGAGGGTTGAGATGGCCCCAGGCTGAGCAATGCCAACACTTTGAGTAGATGTTGTGTTGGGTAGATGTTGTGTTCCAAACCAAGCCGACACTTTCCGAATGGATAACCAAGGAGGGCTTGTGCTGGAGGCCCAGGGCTTAGTGCTGTAAGTTTGTGCAGCTTCAGAATAACCATAAATTAGAACTAGCAAGGGCGGAGCCTGCAGGCCTGGGAGTGGAGGCTGAGTTGTGAAGGCTGCCTGGCTGCTTTTGTCCTGGGTGCGGAACCCCTGGGACACCCAGGACTCCATGTGACATGTCAGGAAACACACTGACATGTGTCCCATGAGTGTGAGAGTCTATATGCTTCTGGTGTAAAATTGCCACTGTGAGCTCATACGTGCTTAATAAGCAGTGTCATGGGTTTCTGAAGTTTTATTTTAAACACATTTGCTTCTTGTTTGCTCAGGGAAACAGCTGTCTGAGCTCTTAAGAAAAATAATCTCAGAATTGTACACACACACACACACAATCCTTTCCAGTTGTGGCTTTTTTTTTTCAGTGGGAATATGCCATTATTCATCCAGGCTGAGGGAAGGGGCAGGGTGCCATCCTCAGCGATGACTGGGTGGGCAGAGGATGAATGGAGGTGAGCTACTTAGTTGTGATGGACCAAGTAGGAAAGAAGGGTCTGAGCTAGAGCTGTGTGTGTGTGATGAGGCAGTCTGGACAGGGGATTTAGAGGATGCTGGCAGGGACTTTGGCCATGAGCATGGAGGCAGAGAGAAGAACCATGCCCTGGGGCATCATTGGATTACAGTCAGGTCAGGTTAGGCCTGTCTTCGGGGTCCGCGAGATATCCAGGTGAAGTTGTCCCAGACAGGTGGATTCTTGGGTCAGGGGGTCTAGAGAGTGGTCGGAGCTGGAGGTGAGGGGTTGTTTGAGCATAGCTATCAGCCCAGGTTATAGACAAGGTGTAGTGTTGAGCATAATTGCTGAGAAGGAGCCCTGGGCAGAGGCAGGAGAGTTCAAAAGAAACAAAAACCAGGCCAAAGAACTTTCAGGGCTGAAGAGAATCCAGAGAGCCCATTAAGAAATCCAGAGTGGGGGAACTTCTGGAAGAACAGATTGGGGATAGCAGCCTGTTGGGACCAAGGATAGAGGCCCAGCGTGGGGGTAGGCTGAGTATTTCAGAAAGGCCCCAGAAGTGTTAATAGGCAAGCATAGTCAAGAGTTGTGGGTAAGGGGTAGACCAGAGGCTGTGCTACCCTTGAGCCCTAGCTTCCTGGGCCTGGGGCAGCTCCCATGTGCTTGACCCCACAAGCCTTGATCAGTCTACCCTCACAGGAGTGCCACCACATGCTCCGAGCTGTCTTCTGCTGGTGTGAGGGCCCCCGTGAGCCCTGGGCATGATCCAGCTCCTGTGCTGTGACCAGCAAGTGGCCTGTGATCAGGATTAGTCACAAACCAGGAATCAGGGCTTCTGGGCCAAACTGGCCAGAAACAAAGCTGGGTGCTGGAATACTGGTTGTCTGTGGCATGGATCTGGATGTAAGGGTCTCATCGTGTGGCCACAAGCGGGTGGTTTGTGGTTAGGCCTGGTGGAAGCTGGTGTTCTTCCCGTCCCGGAGCTGGGTAGACCTCAGCATATAAATGTGCCCTGATCTCCATGCAGATGGGCTGGATCAAGCAAGCCACTTCTGAATACACAAACCTTGAACTTGCTGTAGCAGGGTTCAACATGGGCCTAGATGGCAGAGAGGATGGTCAGGGAAGCCAGGGAGGGAGGACGGAGAAGAGGGAGGAGAATAATTGGGGAAGACTCCCAGCAGGAGGCCTGAAACGCTGAAGTAGACAAACAGGTGGTTTTTCAGAGGCATCTCCTTTTAGCTAGGCCTGGATTTCTTTGGATCTAAACCAACGGAGCTTGGCCTACGCCTGTTGGGCCTCATATACAGAGCAGACTGGGTACTTTGTGTCCAATTGACCTGGTTAATGAAAGCATCCAGCACCATTGCTGGTGTCTGGCCTGGAGGAGGGAGGAGGGGAACCACAGTGGGCTGGGCACCGGCCGGGAGTGGAGTGGAGGGCAGACACCTGAGGTCAGGTCCAGCCTCAGGACTAAGAGCCTGGCCCAGAATTGTTCCCTGGAAATGTTATCCTAGGCTAAGCTAAAGCTGCTGGGTCCCCGTGGCCAGGCAGCACAATCCCTCAGGAGCCAGTGTCAGAGGCCTGACCATGAGAGAAACCAGACTCGGCTTATCTGCCTGCCTTTCCCAGAGGCAGTGTGATAAGGGAGTTGGATCCTGTGGGGAGAAGCTTGGATGAAGGCCTTAAAGCTGTGATGTGAGTGGAGACTGGCTGGGCAGCCGTGTCAAGCATTAAAGGAGGGAGGTTTGGCCTATGTGGGCTCTGGAGAGCACACACATGGACAAAAGTCCCAAGACATCCTTCCATAGCCCACAAAAATATTTGCAAGTTCCCTCAGGGAGAGGGTCCCACCTACCTGAATCCCTGAAATCAGACTTCTCTCATCCCCCAATTTTGCCTCCCCCCCTCCCCATTAATTCCCAGACCTGGCTCCCTTACAGGCCTGCTGTCCCTTCCTACAACACAGAAGTGGGACATTTGGTCTTCAGCTCTGTCCCTCACCTTCAGGGCTGTCTGGTGATTTCTCCTTCCTGAGTCCCACCTGACGGCTAGGCTAGGCTATCCCACCATACAAAGATAATGGCCCTCTGGGGAGCATGCCAGAGGTCCCCCCTAGAATGAGCCTAGGACTGGGACCATTGCTTACTTAGCCTTTGCTTTCAGGGCTCTGTGTTAGTTGAAGACCCCCTCCCCCTCCCCAGGTCTCATGCTTGTTCCTCCCTGCTGGGGCCTGGAGGGTGATCTCAGAATAGTCTCTTGACCTGAGGCATGGGCACAGCCCCTTCCCCATGTGAGAAGAGGTTGGACTCAGCTCCACACCCAAGTGGCTGCTGCTGCTATTGCTCCTGCCTCACCTGAGACTCCTTAGCAGGAAGCAAGCTAATGCAGAGGTGCAGAACTTCCTTCCCACCTGCCCCTCTGCTCCCAGAGAGCACCATGGGGGAGGCGGGGCCTTCAGCATGTAGTGACAAGCATGTGGGGGGACCCCTCACTGACACCTACATTCCTGGGGAAAAAATGATTTCAACACTGGTCTGTACCTCTGAGGCCCCTGCCTGGACCTGTGGAACCTGTTGGGCCAGCGTGGGATGGGTGAGGGGGACATGGAGACCCCAGAGAAGAGAGGCCCAGGTGACACCAGGAGCTGGGGTTCTGCCTGGACTGACTGGTTTTCCTCTGGTTATTTGCTGGGTTTCAGACCTCTAGGGGAGTCCTCCCAGGGAACACAGGAGACACCTTACGTTTATGCAGGGGTCCTGTAGTCTTGAGAGTGGGCGGGGCTGTTCGTTCTCCTCCACCCTCCTGAAGTTAAAGGACTGCCCTGGCCCTGTCTTCTGTCACCTCCCCAGAGTTCCACTCTGTGGATGGGTCCTCCTCTCTGCCTGGCACTGTGGGCTTTCTAGCTGGAGAAACTCTTGAGACCCCTTTTCTGGCTTCCCTCCCATGGCCAGCATGAGGGCAGCTGGAGAAGTGTCTGCAGTCCAGGCTGCTGGCTCCTTCCCCGGTTTCTCCAGCACGCCTCTAGTTCTGTTTTTACATCCATTGCCAGTGACCTCTTCTTGGCTAAACACAATGGACATGTCTTCCATCCCATCCTGACCACCTCATCCCTGACCTTACACCACCTTTGGACATGTTGATGTTCCTGCTTCCCTCCCTGGTGTTCTCCTCTCTTGCTGTGTTTCTCCCTATCTTGTTGGCTGCTGCTGCTGCTGCTGCTGACTCCTAGTGTATGCCCATCCTGCTTCCTGAGATAGCAGGGCGCCCTGGCCCCTGATCCATGCTGAGGACTTTCAGGAGTCTATGAGAGCTGGGACTGTTTGCACCAGCTTTCCTTTGTATTCATGCTTACATAGCTAGCTACCTCCTCAGTCTCATCTAAAATGGGAATCCTTGTTTCTCCCCCAAGCCTTGCCAGTCATTCACACCCCAAGCTTCAGTATCCTTTCCCCTGCTCTGTTTGTTCACCCTTTTATCCAGATTCCTTTTCCCTCAAAGCTCTGGAGTCCTTGCCCTTGGCCCTTCCACATCCATGTACCATATCCCCTCCCCACTTCTCCACCAGGGCCTATGGAGCTGATTTGCCACCTGATCTCCTTTCAAACAACTCTGGCCAGCATTTGAAGAGTGTGTCTAACACACACCATAGGCTCCTTGTCTAAGGTCAAGTTCCAGTACTCCAGGCCAGCAGTGTGGGCTGCAGGATCATCCAGCTCACAATGTTTGAGCCGTGATGGCTTTGCTTTGGTGACCCTCAGTTACCCTCTGGGACTGGCTCACTCTGTATGTGGCTCAGGCAGCCCTGCTTCTGGGTGCCTTCCCTGCCCTTCTGAACTGAAGTCTGCCTTAAGCATCCTCATACTAGTCTGGTACCACTGTGCTACCCACTGGCCTGATTCCCCCTGATGCAGGCTGCAAGAGGACCTGAGCCACCTGATACTGGAGATAAACTGTTGTCTGGGAAGCTAGGAGACCAGGAAAATATTCTGGAGATGCCTGGGGGAGGGGCACAGCTGGCCCTTCAAGCCACTCACCATGGCTTGTTACCAAAGTCTGGTTAGGATCTGCCTCTGGCCCCTCTTGCCAGACTGACCACTCCTCCCAGCCCCCGCTCTGAGCCCTCTGCCTCTTTGGGAGGAGGCAGAACCCAGGGAGAGGAAGGCTTGCCCTCTGGCCATTATCCTGGCTGTTTTCACTGGACATCGCTGGCTGTGTATGTCTCTCCTGAACCCCAGGTTCCATCCGAGAGAGGGTTCTGATGAGTTTAGTAGATACTCAGATAGCACTTTCCTAACTTTCTGTGGCTCTCAGACTCAGAGGGGACAGAAGGTGGCTCCATCAACCCTGGGATCCCAGGAGATCCCAGCCCCCACCTTGGTCTTTGTTCTTTCTGCTTGCCTCCTGCTGGCCCCCACCTCTTGCTGTACCCTTGGTGGGATGCAGGGGTGGCAGGAATGCAACCAGACCCCTGTAGTCTGGGGGAATCTTGTATTCTTTTATTCAGGACAAAGTTTCTGCTCTTGTGGGGGCAGCCCTGACTACAGGGAGGAGCAAGGGCCATAGTCCCCTGACCTGTTGTCTGGCCCAGCCTGCAAAAAGGAATGGAATCACCTAACTCACTGCTGCAGTCAGAGCCCCATTCTCATCTCTGTCCTTGGCTTTACTGGGCTCTGGGATGAACTCAGTAAAGGTGTTTGTCCATCAGATCGCCCGTCTACTAGATGGGTTCCATTTCAGCTTGCTCCTCACCTTGGCTAGCACTATACTTCCTGGAGCTGTGTCCTGCCAACACTAGGAGGGGCTTTAGGAAGTGGTTTTGAGGTGGGGCCATGAATAAGGCCTCAGTTGTGATGATGTCTCTACAGAGTGTGGATCATGAAGAAATTGGTGAGCCAAAGGCAAGACGAGCGTCAGATTCCTGCATTATGGAGAATGGACACCAGCCAGCCACAGGTAGGGGCCGAGGGAGGCATCTGGGTACCTTTGGGAGTCAGGGCCTTACTGGGCCAAGCATCCTTAGGCTGGGGTGGGGCTTGAGGCTCAGCCCAATAGGCAAAGTGGCTGTCAGGGAGCCATTTCATTCAACGTATAGAGCTTTCCAAACACAGCGGGAAGTGAGAGCTCTGGGGTAGTTGTGAGCTTCCTGGTTTCTAGAGGAAAGCAAGCAATTGTCTAGGGCAGGGAGGCAGGTAGAGTGCACAGTCAACCAGTATTTATTGAGCTGGCTACAGGGGAGGTTTGAGAAGAATCAGTGTTGGTTAGAATAGCAAGACATCCCTAGTAAGGCAGGTCAGGGAGGCCAGGCTGGTCAGGAAGGCCGGGGTGGTGAGGGATGCCTTTCCTGAGGAGGTGGGAGGAGGAGGCAAGGAGACTTCTGGGGGTTCTGAGGCCCCTGTGGCTTCCCCAGCTGACCTTCCCCATGGGTCATACGTTCCAGGCCCAGGCGAGGGACCTCCAGAGTCTGCCCAGACCTCAGCACCAGAGTCCCCCAGGCCTCGTCCAGTGAGCCTCTCCTTACGGCTGCCTCACCAGCCAGTCATGGCTGTCACCCGTGTCTCTGAGAAGTTCTCTGGGGAGACGTCGGCTGCAGCTCTGTCACCCACCTCTGCTGCCACCCTAGGTTTCAGCCCCAGTCCCAGCGAGGTCACCGCCCTCTGGACCCCCAGTCCCACTGGTAGGAGCAGGAGAGGGTGGGCTGGGGGGCTGGAAGGGGACTCAGAAACTCCTCACCTCTGCCATCTGTCTGTCATGTCAAAAGGGACCTGCACTTTCCAGAGATGTCATGAATTGCATCACCTGTGGGGATGGTCATGGGGACATCCCGCCCTGCAGCACCCCTCAGGGCTGATGTGGGCTTGCTCTTCCTCCCTGCTTCCTGCCACAGGCTGAGCAGGTGCCTGGAGAAGCCTGGGCAGGGGGCGGGGGGAGGCTTGGAAAGCCCGTGGGGGCTCTCTGTAGTGCAGGCTCAGTGGTTAGAGGCAGTGTTTGCTGGTCACACAGCATTGGAGGCCCTGGGCTCTGTACCCTCAAGGGCAGCAGAGGGACTGTTGTGATGGCATCACTCAATTTCCCCATCCCACTTTCTCATTGTCACTTTACCAAGGCAGGGCCAGCTTAGCTCAGCTTCTTGCTGGTCCACAGAGGGAGGCTGGGTAAATGAGGTAGGGCCGGGTCAAAGGAAGGGAGGCTGAGGCCGGCCCCGTGTGAGAAGCCAAGTGTGTTCTTTCTGATCTCCTTTCATCCAGCAGAGAAGAATTCCTCTTTCACACGGTCGTTGTCAAGCTCTGGGTATGGGGCAGTGACAGCTGGCAAGCACAAGGACAGGTGAGTCACTGGCCTCTTTGCCCCAGCTGGGAGCCAGGGGCTGGGCCCCCCCTGCTGGGAGCTCTGTGTGCTGACCCTCCTGGGTGGGTGTTCTGCAGAGCCAGGGCAGCTCTTGGCAGGTAGGGTGTGAGTCACTGGAGCAGTAAAGTGGCTGGGGGGTTCTGGAAGGGGGTTGTTTGGAGAAGCATGGCTACAGTTTGACTTCTCTGTGGACAAAGGTTGGGGGTGTGTTTGGTCAGGTTCAGCCTTCACGGGAGGTGGGCAGGTAGAGGCATCTGCTCCCTTACTCTTCCTTTCTGCTTCCTGCCACGGGCTGAGCAGGTGCCTGAGAAGCCTGGAGGGACAGGGGGCCCTGGGAAAGCCCATGGGGGCTCTCTGTAGTGCTGATCTCCTTTGGGATTGTGGGTGTCCTGCTTCCACAGGACTGCTAGACTCACTGGGAGTGGGGGTAGGTGGCAACCTTAGCATTTTTTCCCCTTTAATAATAAAAGGATAATTGTCACTTTCTTGGAAGATTGTTCTAGGGGGAGAACAAAAGGGGTCTTATCTCATGGTGGGGGAGGGGGGCTTGGTCCTGATGGTTGGCGGGGTACACCTCCTGCTTGAGAGGGTTTCCCTTATCCTCTCCAGGTATCGATACCTTCAAGGGCTGCTTATTCTCAGAGTGAGGGGCCCACTCTCCCTCCCAGTTGAGCCTGCTGGCCAGGCATGCTGCAAATAGTGGCTCTGTTTAGAAAACCTGCCAAGCAAGTTGGGGCCTGGAGCAGGTGGGCTTGCTGGCTGCCCACTGCTCCACTCTCTCAGTGTCATGGTGCAGAATGCCTGCCTTGCTCTTGTTCAGTGCTGGGTTCAGCTCCCATAGAGGAGCTAGTATTAGTAATCTCGATGTCTGTGTGTCTGACTTGGTGCTTCTTTCCTCTCCCCAGCCCTCCGTTGGTGACACCACCCCAGTCACCCCCATCCCCGCAGCCACCAGCCATAACTCAGACCCTTCGCTCAGGGGAGCGTCGTCGCGAGCTGGTGAGGTCTCAGACGCTGCCCCGCACCTCAGGAGCGCAGGCCCGGAAGGCACTGTTTGAAAAATGGGAGCAGGAAACAGCTAGCAAGTATGGACACCTGTTCCCAGACCACATAGGGCCCAGGGGGGAGTGGTCTGGTGGTATTGCATCTCAAAGTTGAGCCCTACCCCCCCCCTGTGGGAGGTATCCCCAAGATCAGATCTCAAGGCCGGGGCTGTTTTATAGGGTGGGCTGGGGACTAGAGAGCCTCAGTGGTTGGGAAGAGAGGGCCATGGGGCTAGACGCCAGGCCAGGCCTGGTGAGAGCCCTCCTCCCCCATTCAGAAGCACCCAGGATTTCTGCACCCCCAGTGGTCACAAGTAACTGCTATGCCTGAATTCCTCAGGGTGCATTGCTCCTTTCTTTTCTGGGCAGGATTGGGGAGTCTGGCAGAGGGTTGGAGTTTCTGGCTGAGGGTGGGTTGGCCTAACTATTGGGCCGGACTTGTCTGGGGACTGAAGAGGTGGCATAGGGGACCCAGGATCCATGGGCCACTGCTGTGCTCTGTTAGTGATGGCCTTCCTGGCCCACTGGTGCCTATTTACCTAGTCTTCTTGTCAGAGCCCAGTATTGGTGCCTGCTGTGCAGAGTGTGGGTCATGCTTCTATGATGATGATGATGATGGCTGATAACCAGTCCCTACTTGGCTTTAGTAAGGGAGTCAGACCCAGGAAGTCCCCACTGACCCAACAATTTGACCTTGGCTATCAGGAAGTATCCTTGGGCCCTATGAGGAAGGCATCTTGCCTTGCTAGGAAGTGTCACCAGGAAGAGACTCCCATCCCAGAAGAAGAGTGGGATGAAAGAAAGCGGGGAGGGTCTAGGCAGAGGAGAGAGGATTGAGACTATGCCGCTCAAGTCCCGTCTTGGAATTACCCAGCAACCCCTGCTTCCCACTGTGGACCAAACATAGGGGTGCTGGACAGCTGGAGGAGGCAGAAGGCCCTGCCAGATGCCATCTGAGGAGCTGTACAGCCGGTGCTATGCACTGATCCAGTATCTCCCTGGTGAGCAGACCAGAGGTATAGCAGCATGCCCCCTTTTGGCACTCACAGCATGCCTGCTTTCTCTCCACAGGGGCAAAGGGGAGACCCGAGCCAAGCTGAAGCGGTCACAGAGCTTTGGCGTGGCCAGTGCCAGCAGCATCAAGCAGATCCTGCTTGAGTGGTGTCGCAGCAAGACTCTGGGCTACCAGGTGAGCCCTGGCCCAGGCAGACAAGGCCCTGACCCTTTCTTGGCCACCTGGCGGGGCAAGAGCTGGTGTAGGCTGGAGGGAGGGACAGGAGCCAGAGAACTAGTGTCCTTGGAGCACAGATCCTTAGTCACCTGCAGGATAAGCTTAGAAATACTCAGAATTACCTGGGCACTCACTGGTGGCTCACCCCTGTAATCTTAGCTACTCAGGAGGCTAAGACAGGATCATGGTTTGAAGCCAGCCTGGGCAGAGAAATCTATGAGACTCTTATCGCTGACTAACCAGCAAAAAAGCCAGAAGTGGAGGTGTGGCTCATGTGGTAGAGTGCCAGCCTTGAGTGGAAAAGCCAACTGAGAGCTTGAAGCCCTGAACTCAAGCCCTAGTACCTGTGAATGAATACACACACACACACACACACACACACACACACACAGAAAATTCAGAATTTGGATCTTGGGATCTATATGCAGACTCATCTTAGTGGGTAGGGTCTGGTTGCTGAGCAGGGTCTATATGCAGACTCATCTTAGTGGGTAGGGTCTGGTTGCTGAGCAGGGCCAATGGCAGGTCTTGAGGAAGAGCTGGGAGGATCTACCTGCCTCGTGGGGTTGAATTGGATGGGAGGAGCAGGGGGGTTGGAGTTCCATCCCCCTGACCTTCTTCCTCCTGCTTGCAGCATGTGGACCTGCAAAACTTCTCCTCCAGCTGGAGTGACGGGATGGCCTTCTGCGCCCTGGTGCACTCTTTCTTCCCCGATGCCTTCGATTATAATTCCCTGAGCCCCACGCAGCGTCAGAAGAACTTTGAGCTGGCCTTTACCATGGCTGAGTGAGTAGAGCAGGCCCTGCAACCTACCAGCCTTAGCCTCAACTGGGAGCAAAACTCTGCCCCAGATGGGGGTCTGCGGAAGTGCTCAAGGACCTGAGGCCTTCAGGTCTGTTTTCTCCTTACACAGGTAAAAGATCAGGCCTGGCGATGGATTTGCCAAGGGTCACACAGCACCCTCAGCCTTGCCTACCCACTTCATTCCATTCCTGGCCCAACTGCTTAGCCCCAGCCTCCTTCTCCAGGCCCCGAGCTGAGCCAGAGAGGGAATTGAGCCAGCTTGGCTCATAACCTGTGCTTGTTACTGGAAGCTCCTCTGGAGCCAAAGGGACATACTCTCTGGGGCAGCAGAGCTTGTTCTGGGGACAGAATCAACTCTCTCCCTCTGAGCAACTTGGCCTGGGGTTTTGGAGCCTCGGCCCTCTTGTTTTGTTGTCTCGGCTGATGCATTCAGACTCTCAGCCCCTTTGGGGTCATAGACCTCCTTGTATACTTTATAAGCCTTCTCTTTCTTGGCTGCTTGGGCTAAGTTGTCATCCTGATAGCAGAAACAGCTTTGGATGAGTGCGTTACGCAACAAGCCAGACGGTGATGGAGTTGTGCCAAGTGTCGCAGCATGATGTGGGGCGAGGGTGGCCCACAGGAGGAGGCCCAGCTGCTCGAAACCCAGGCATGGCCATCGTCCAAAATCAAACTGTTAGAATGTGTAGGGCTGGGGCTCCCACATAGGCTGCCCAAGACCCATCCCAGCTGGGGAGGGTGATGCTTGGCTTAGAGTTCTTCACTTCGGAGTCACTGCCAACTCATCTTCTTGACCACCTTGGTCACTCTCAGCCCTGGACCCAGCTGGGTTGTGGCAGGGAGAGGGACACCCTGGGTCACAGGGTGGGGACTCCACGCCCCAGCTTGCAGGGAGAACAAGAGCCATCTCGGACTGTGCTTTCCCAGCAAGAGGTTGGAGTTCACAGAAGCCTCCAGACTTTTAAGCAGATGTTTCTTTGATTTCCAACCTGGGGGTGGCGAGGGGGTGGGGGTGGGGTTGGTCCATGGCCTTGCCTCCTCCTCTGCAGAGCAAACAGCAGGGTAAAAACCTTGGCTCTGCCTCCCTGTGGCCTGAGCCTGTTTCCAGCAGGGAGGGAGGCGGGCGTGAAGGGGCCTCCACAAAGTGTTCTGGCTTTTTTTTTTGCTGACTCGGGAGGGTAGGAGGGTGGGAGGGTAAGGAAGGGTGTCTGAGGCAGGCCTGTGTGGGGAGCTTGTTCAGAGCCGGGGACATGCCTCTGTTGATGAGTCATCTGTGAGATTACTGCTCAGGTACGTGAGGGAGCTGAGGGAGTCGAGGGAGCGGGCGGCCTCCAGGCCTGGGGGCCTCTTGGGAAAACTGCCTCTTGGATCTCCTAGTTTCTTGGAGACTGGATAGAAAAGATTTAAGAAAGCTCAGGAACACCTGCTTAAGGACATTGGCTGGGAGTGTTTGAGGTTTGCCAGCAACATCTGGGTAGTCACACAGGACTGTTGAAACCATCAAGAAGAGCTCTGTGGCTGAAAACAGAATGAAGAAAGGCAGGTTTTTGTTTCGTTTTGTTTTGTGGGTCATGGGGCTTGAACTCGGGGCCCGGGCACTGTCCCTGAGCTTTTTCCCTCAAGGCTAGTGCTCTACCACTTGGAGCCACAGCACCAATTCCAGTTTTCTGGTGGTTCATTGGACAAAAGAGTCTCACAGACTTTCCTGCCTCTCTGGCTTTGAACCCCGATCCTCAGATCTCAGCCACCTGAGTAGTTAGGATTACAGTCGTGAGCGACTGGTGCCCCCACAGAAAAGCAGTTTTGTTTGTTTGTTTGTTTTTTGGGTCCGGTCATGGGGCCTGAACTCTGGGCCTGGGCGCTGTCCCTCAGCTCTTCAGCTCAAGGCTAGCGCTCTACCACTTGAGCCACAGCGCCACTTCCGGCTTTTTTCTTTTTGCTTATGTGGTGCTGAGGAATCAAACCCAGGGCCTCATGCATGCAAGGCAAGCACTCCACCACTGAGCCACCTTCCCTGCCCAGAAAGGTAGTTTTGAGAGCAGTTTTGACAAGAGGAGTCTGGGGTCCTATCAAGCAAGATATGACTTTTAGAAGATAGGAAAACATGGTGTTCACAAACCATGCATCTGGAAGGAAATATTTCTAGAACTGTCTGTGAGCAAATGCCTTTGAGGCACAAAGATTCATTTGGAAGGAAAGTTGTGTGTGCTGCCCATCCCCATAGTTTCTGGGCTCAGAGATTCCTTGTGGCCTAATCTGTGTGAGTGATGTGGTGCTGACAGCAGGGTGAGCTTCCCTTGCGTGACAGGTGTTCAGCGCTTGGAACGAGACTGGACCAGTCCCTTTTATGGAAGGGGCTGAGTGGAGCGGGCGCCTGACCCTTGTGCATCTTTTTTTCCCCCATCTCCAAGCAGAGCCGGAGCACAGGACGTGCGGCCCGAGGCTTCCCGCTTGCCCTGCCTGGAATGTGGCTTGCTCTCCGGTTACCCTCAGCAGAAGGGGCTCAAAGGCTATTTGTAGTGTCCATGTGTCTCTGTCTAAAACCAGACAGGAGGCAGCAGTCCGAGCTCTGGCATCCTGGACCACATTTAGAGCAAGCTTTAAAAAATAAAAATAACACCCTCCTACCCTTCCTTCATGTCCCTTACGGGCTAGCCCAGGGCAGCCAAAGATGACAAGACATGGGGAGCCTTTAGGGTTCTGGACAGTAGGCTGTGTTACCCCTAGTTCTGGCTGTATGCATGGACGTGATTTGTTCTTTTTGGTTTGGACTTTTTCATGTAGTTTGAAGTATTTAAAAACAAGCTTGGAGCCTAGCTAGTCAGGAGGCTGAAATCTGAGGATCAGGGTTCAAAGCCAACCCAAGCAGGAACGTCCATGAAACTTATCTCCAGTAAACCGCCAGAAAACTGGAAGTTGCGTGGTGGCTCAAGTGGTAGAGTGCTAGCCTTGAATTGAAGAGCTGAGGGGCAGCACCCAGGCCCAGAGTGCCAGCCCCACAACTGACAAAACAAACAAAAACAAAACAAGCTTGGAACATTTGTACAAAGACAGTTTTTTAAAAAACATATAGAAATTGAGAGCTCTACTGTTTTGGTAAAAGTTGATGGTGACATCTGAGTCTTGATGGTTCACACCTGTAATCCTAGCAACTCAGGAAGCTGAGCTCTGAGTATCGACATTCAAAGTCAGCGGGGTGGAAAAGTCCCATTAACCAGCAAAAAGCCAAAGGTGGTGGTTTGTCTCAAGTGGTAGAGTGCCAGCCTTGAGTGAAAAAGACAAATGGGCATGTAGGCCTCTCACATTCAAGACCCAGTTACCCCCGCCCACCTCCACACACATACAGAGTCAGTGCACGATCACTTCTCTTGGATCCTGTTTGAGTTCTGTTCAGCCTGAGGAATCTTGTCATCCTTGTGGCTAGCACCAGCATATCTCTGAGGGAATGCACTCTTTCTGCAGGAGCAAGCTGGGCTGGAAGGCCAATGCCCCTACAGGTCTATTGTGGACCGTATAATGGCCTTCAAGTCTGGGACGTTGTTCTGTTTGGTGGAGCATTTGGACCCTCCCAGGGGAAGAAGTGGGTGATGATGGGAGGTTGTATATGTGTGAGGCTGTATATGTGTGAGGGGTAGGAGGGTGTAGCTGAGACAGGGTGGTCACATGCTGAGACACCCTTCTCAAGACCCCATATACTTCTGTTCAACTTCAAAATGACAGTGGGGGAGGGCAGGGGCAGATGCATTGCAATTCAGTGTCCTGATTGCCTGCTGGAAAGCCAGCATCTTGCCCTTGGATAGCTGGTTGGGCGGTGGAGGGTGGTGCCAGGGTGAGACCTTACTCTAATCTTTTAAAAAATTTATTGTTATTATAAAGGTGGACTCGCATGTGTGCATGTGTGTGTGTGTATGTGTATGTGCACACGCCTGCGTGTGCATGCGCATGCTTGAACTCAGGGCCTTAAATTCTTGCTTTTTTTTTTTTTCTGTTGGCACTCTACCACTTGAGCCATCCTTCCACTTCCAGCTTTTTCCTGATGAATTGAAGCTCAGAGTCTTATAGATTGTTCTAGCCAGACTGGCTTCAAACCCTGATTGTCAGATCTCAGCCTCCTAACTAGCTAGAATTCTAGGTGAGAGTCATCAGCATCCACCGTGGAGAAAAGAAAAATTGACTCAGAACATTGTGGGACTGATAGGCAGAAAGTGCAAAAAGGCAAAAATGGTATGAGCAGCATAAAGAACAACTTTTGTCTTGGCCACGGCCTTCTTCAGAAGGGCTGGCATGGTCCTCAGGGCCTTTTAGAAACTTTTCCCTTGATCCAGTGGTGGGTGAGCCAGGCTTTGCAGAAGGCTGGCTTCTGATCAGGGGGGTTAGACAGGGTACTGTTTGAGGTCTCTTCCAAAGCTGGGGTTCAGGAGTTCTAGGCTGTCAGCTGTGATGCCCAGGGCTCATGTGGAGCCTGTTCCCACACACCTGGGGTCCTCAAAAGAGAGGGTCTGGGAGTAGGGAGGAAGGGAGAGGAAGAGGTGCTCTCTCTGTGAGGTGGGTGACAGGTATCAGATGGCAAGCAATGGTTCTGGAAGGTGAACTGGGGTGGCCACAAAGCACCTTTTGCGTGCCTGTCCTGTCACAGGGCTCACTTCCCCGACCCAGAGCCTTGGCTTGGCAGGTGCCAGAGAGAGAGGATGCCTGCTCACCAGCCAAGTGCACTCTTACCCCGTGGAGCCTCTGGGTTCCCTTACATAGCTGCCTGCCCCAGCCTTGGGGGCCGGAGTGGGGGACTGGATCCGGGACAGGTGTCTCCATTTCACATTGACATTTGGTTTCTGATAGGAAGCCTGGCACTTGCCCAGCACCACAGAGCAGGGCCCGGGGGTAATGTTACAGTCTTTGTCTCTGGAGCACACAGCCCGGGGAGCTGCCCTGTGCTGTGTCCTGGAAGAGAGGACAGTGTGGGTCATGTTGAACTGGCTGTGAGCTCTAGGGTGGGTAGGTCTGAGGTGGCTTGTCCCTCTGCTGGGCTCACTGGGGAACCAGGTGTGTAAGAACACATTGTGGCCGGGCACTAGTGGCTCAGACCTGTATTCCTAGCTACTTAGGAGATGGAGATGTGAAGCTCACAGTTTGAAATCAGCTGGGCTAGAAAGTCTTTGACACTCTTATTTTCAATTAACTACCAAAAAGCCAGAAATGGAGCTGTGATTCAAGTGTTTAGAGCACTAGCCTTGAGCAAAAAAAAAAACAAACTCAGAGACAGTGCCCAGTCCCTGAGTTCAAGCTCTAGGATTGGCACATGTATACACAAACAAGAATGTATTTTGGGAGCCATAGCCTCCCAAAAGACCCACTGGAAGGGAGAGCAAAGAAGCATTTCTCCATTTTATCTCCACTAACCACTGAAACACAGAAAAGTGGAGATGTAGCTCAAGTGGTAGAATGCCAGCCTTGAGCTAAAAAGCAAAGGTAGAGTGTCCTGGCCCTGAGAATAAGCCCTGGTACACACACTCTCTCTCTCTCTCTCTCTCTCTCTCTCTCTCTCTCTCGATTTATTTAATATTTGGTGGACACACACACATACACACACACATACACACACAGAGTCTCTAGATTTATTTAATATTTGGTGGTGCCGAGGATTGAACACTTGCTATAATAGTCTTCTACCACTTGAGCTAAGTCCCCTCTTTTTTATTTTGTTTTGACATAGGGCCTCACTATGTAGCCTAGGCTAGCCTTGAAGTCACCAGCCTCCTACCTCTGCCTCTACAGTGCTAGGATGCAGGTATCATCTCCGTGCCAGGCCCTTAGGTTATTTATAACATCTAATACGATATAAGTGCCATGTGACTATTTGTCCTATTTTGTTTGGGGAATAAAGGGAAGAAAAGCAAGCATATCTGTTTGATATAGGTGCAGTCGTTTTTTTCCCCCTTATTTTCAACCCAAGTTTGAATCCATGGCTGTGGTCATAGAGGGCAGACTGTGTGTGTGTGTGTGTGTGTGTGTGTGTGTGTTCTGAGTCGTGATGAAAATTATCTGTCTTACTATAGGTATTAAAGTGTTTAAAAACACTGTTGCAGGAAGCAAATGGGTGAATTTATATTTTCCTTCAGTTTACATTTATTTTCATAGTTCATGCTCATTTCTGACATTCCAATATATATTCACATGCATTTAGTGTGTGTGTGTGTGTGTGTGTGTGTGTG